TTCCCGAACCTAACGCAACAAATATGTGACATGAGTCGTTCACCAGTTTATAAGATCTGATTGCCCCTAATCCTGTGTTCCAAACAGTGGTTGGATTTGAAAGCACCAAATAAATGTATGGTGCTCACAAACCGAGGACAAATATACCCTTTTCCTCTCTCTAGCATTAGCTGAGAAGGTTCAAGAAATTGCTAAAACTTGGTGTTATATCAGAACAATAAAAAGTTTGGATTGTAGTGATTGAATGCTCTTTGGAGCCCTGGTAGCGAGAGAGGCTCTGCTGGTTGATATTATTACCCCTGGTGCATCTGTCAACTCAAGGTGATTAATAAAAGTGGCTGTATGAATATACCAACACAACTAGCAGTTGAGCCATCGTAAAGAGCCAAACTATTCGATGGAAGTCCCAGGTGGGAAAAAACCCTAAAAACCAAATAGCCTACTCTACTTTGCATTGACCTAATATCCAGTAAACCTTCTTCAGTAAGGCTGGCCTCATTTAAAGTAGAGCTTGGTGTGCCATTAACCACGAAATGTCTTCAAAAAAGACAATATGCATTTTCAAGATAGACTTTAGTAATGCTGGTTAAAAATGCATAACGCGTTCTCTGTCAGGGTAGATTTACAGGGCCAAACTAAATACCACCTCTGGGATGATCTTTTGTACTGTTTGAAAGTGTGCTACTAATACAGTATTGTTGCTTAGAGCTCAGCCATTCTAGTAGTTAGATACGTTGTAGTGCAATCAAGCTTCAAACAACGGTCATATATTTGCGACGCCGGCAGTAAACGTGATAATTACTTTGACTGTTAAAAATCACTTAAGTGAGCCATCAATTTCCAATTAAGGATGATTCGAAATTCTCTTCCAAAGTAAGGATCCTCTTAAGAATAGGTTTTGCGACAGTAAGGGGTATGAGGAATGAGACCCTACTTTGTGCCTTGTTGTCTTGGCCTATAAGTAAACTGGAAATCCTCCCTACCTATCTGTTAGCCTTAGCTGACCTGAATATTTCCCAATTGCCTTACCTTGTATTCTGTTCTATCCTAATGAATGGAGTAGAGGGATCTCAGCCCTAATTGTTTGACCTTCATTAAGTGAACCATTCATGGTAAAAAACTTCTGCCGGCGTGCCATGTTTTTCTGGGGGAAGTGGTGAGTGCCTCAGAAGTATGGGTAAGTAGCGAGCTCATCCAACATCTTTGTCTAACGTCTACAAAGACAAAATGTGTTTCGCGTTTCCTAGAAGCAGTTGTTTTGATAGATAAATGCATGACAACTGGAATCGTAATAAGGCACTGAAACATCTAGGGTGCGATGGTAGGCTTTCCGCGGGAATCTCAGTAATCAAAGAGAAACATAAAGATAAGTCTTGTTCAAGCAAAGATTCACTAATTTATACTGAATTGAACAGAGGAGCATGAGGCTAAAAATATAAATTGTCGAAGTTCCTATTGATTTTGACTGGCATTGCTAGCAATGGTGGTGTCAGAGCATCTGTTACCTTTAGTCTGCTGCGCTCCAACTACTCATTACCACATTACTAAGGCAATTATTTGTTTTCGTCTTACAAAAGGATTTAAGGGTACTTAGCTAAATTACATTTAATAACAAGATATGTTGAAATTGGATGACACTTAACACCTAATTTCATGTAACTATTTAATATACTGTTATAGGTGCAGACCTGTAAAACTGTAAATATGTGTAAATTATACACTTCTATTTAGGGGCTACCTTTTCTGATCAAAAGTTCATTTTATAACAAGAACATATTACTTATTGCCAAGAAAAGGTGGATGATTTGCGGGAAAATATCTTACAAGATTGGGACTGTTTGCAAATTTCTAATCACTGGAAATCCACTAGCCAAATCCTTCTTCACAACCTTAAAAAAATCTAATTTGCTCTAGAATTATAAATTTATCTTCGAATTCCACAAACTCCAGTCCGTCACTGTTGCAATTTTCATCTGTTGCTAAAAAACATTGCTACTTATATGCCATAAGTACAAGTTACCTAGGAGGACCTGTGCATGCTGGAGGACCGTTGGTTTGGACTTTAAAAACAGAGTTGCACATTAAATAGGGAAGGATTTTAAGGGATTTTTGAATAGCTGAATTAGCGCCACTTCTCCAAACTACTGTAGCTTCAGACCCTTCCCCAAAGAGGTGACGGGGAGTTCTATCTTGGGGAAGCCCAGTTATCAACGTGCAAAAGTGATGAGAGGTTGTAATCTAACTTATAAATTGCACAGAGGTTAATTTATGCTTAAGGTATAAGACCCGTTGGCTTTAGCAGTCATCATCGCTATTTACGGAAGCATAATTATGCATATTCATCTGGGATTGCTTGCGTAAGATTATTCTCCTCCTGTTTTAAAGATTCATGGGTACAGCTCAGCTAGCTGCTTTGTTGTTGTCGGCTGCGGACAATTAACATTAATGGAAATTCTCACTATGATATGAATCTTAAAGTTGTAAAGGCCTTAACAAGACTGAGAAAGCCCGGGAAGGCGACTCCACAACATCATCACTTTGCTTACCCACCCTACGTGGGCATTACTCCCATGCTTGTCAGTGTATGTGCCACTAAACCACACAATAATCCGAAAGGATGGTATTTTGCTCCCTCTCTATATCCAGAGTAAAAAAAGAACGAGCATATTTGGCCCAAGGAACATTTTTTTGACGGTTGCCAGTGCCTGTTCAAAGGATTGATTATGAATCCAGTCCTTTCTCAAAGTCCTCAGAAAGAATCCCTGTTCCCCATTTGTCAGCGTGGTGAGAAATGGCCTTTATCGTTTGAATCCTGCAGATAAGAATGCGGATTTTGCTGACGTCGGGCGGAATGTTTGCACCTAAGTGAAATCAGTTAACCACATCTATCAAGGCATCTGAGTAAAGGGTTGTGCTTGAGGAGGAATTTCCTGCCTTACGCACCTCCTAAATACTTTCATAAAACCATGGAACACGAGTGAGGAAAAAAAGGAAGGAAGTAGGATTGAATGAGATCAGGACCAAGTTCCGAGGAGCTGCTGTATCGTCTTGTATTTTGCATTAAAGACTAGCAATTCACAATCGAACCTAGACAGTTAAATCAATCGAACCTGACCACCTTTTTTGAACTGAGGCCAATCAGGGGAAACCTTATAACCTTCATTCCTATCTCGTCGGTGGCTCCAGTTCCTTTGATAACCACCCTGACAGTCTATTAGTTGAAGACTGCTAAAGGCGATGCCCAAAAGTGGGTAGGGGTTACATAAAAGACTATTCATGTTTAGTCTTCCCTGATTTTACCACCACAGCTTTAGCATGAGGGTCTACTCATGCCATCTATGCTGCCAGTCTCTCAGTTACATGGCCTTGATAATTCCCTGCATGGGCAATCCCTATGTCAACTAGTCGTTGCGAGACTCGACGGCACAGTCGTGAAATAACATCAACGTTTAGATTTGTTTATGGCATGTTTAGTAATGGAGCTCTGACGGCGCTGTTTGAAGCTCCGTCACGAGAAACCGAAAATTTTATCTACTTTATCCAGTAGGTTTTAAGTGAGTTAGTAAATGCTTGGCTGGCACACATTATGTACTCATTTAACCTTCAGCACTCCATTTCGCTTGGGTCGTAACCCAGCTTGCCAAAAACGTAAAATATGCAATCCACCGCACGCACCATCGTTATTCGCATCGATACGGTAATGCATGAATACGGAAAAAAGGTATCAATTTCAAGAAAACGAACTAAATAACTGATACTTTTTTGCGTCCAAACAGCAGAAATAGCGAAACACCAGCTGCTGTTAAAAGGGTTTCGTGATGACCAACATAGCCACAGCTCATTATACTGCTACTAAAAAACCGCACAACTTCCTTTTGAGTAAGCACCCTTTTCCATGCTAACGGTAAAACTTTCTGATATCTCAGCACATACCATGTAATGCTGAGAAGTGCTGTAGTAACATGTAGGAACAAAAGGTTCCTTTATTACCTGAATGGAGTAGCCAGAGCTTACCATCGGATACTAGCGAGGGAATCAATGAGGCAACTCATCCTTTGCAGAGCAATGGTTGTAAAAGATTCCCCTCTCGCACGATAATGAGAAATGAAGTGGGCCTAAGAAAAGGCTAATTAGAGTGGAATTAATTAGCAAACATACGACCCAGATTCGAGTTAAAAGCTTTGCAAAAGCAGGTCCCGCTTCGCTGACACCACAATGCAGCAGTGCAAAATTGGTGATGGTTATAAAAATTGTATGTTGGATATCACAGAACGGCAGCAGAAATCAACCACTAGACTGCTAGCCTCAATATGGGAAATGCCCCTGATGATGTAATACCAACGATTTCATAGCTGGATACGGACGCTGTTCTAGTCTGCTCGTATGTAGAGAGGAGGCCCAGTAGAGATTAGTGGAGGTATACTTCCAATGCTTAGATCTGAATGCAACTTTTGAAGCTGGTCCATAACGTAGCATAGCCATGAGAAATTCAGCCATAAGTTGACGGATAGGCAAATTGTGGTTATGATACCAAAAAAGGGAGCGGAGACACAGCAGAAGTTAGCGACTAGGAGGTTGATACTAACTCTACATGAATGGAAGAAGGGAAATCTTAGCTCGTAATCCTAAAACGACGATAAACTTCACCAAGAGACAGAACTTACGAAAGCAATCCTATTAAAGTCATTTTAATTTAAATCGCTTACTTTCACAATTTAAAAATACTGGCAATGAGTTGAGGATTCAGAGAGGCACTTGGAATTGCAGAGAAGCCTATATCATTGCCGTTTCTAGACTGTGAGGTAAAAAAACTAGGGTCCGTACCGAAGCGGTATTAGCCAGAGGCTGGATGCTGAGAAATTCATCGATGGTATCAAGATTTTATTGGGAACTAGGGGTTCAAATGCATCGAAACGAAGAAAATGACGTGAAAGAAGAGTGGAGGAGGGGAGAGGGTGGCGCATAAAAACACAGAGGTGCTGCTAAAACCTCTCACTCCTTCAGCGTCTTCGACGCCCCGACACTCGGAGAGGTGTTGGCGAGCGGTCGTACCGATGCCTACGCCTTTCGAGCTCAGAAGAGGCGGTAAAAGAAAACGGCGGTAGCGGAGTCCTCTGCCAAGAAGACATCAAAGAGGGACGCCTGCGATCCCGGCTACGGTGGATATCTTGATGCCGGTTGTGGATGTTTCGACTCCGACTATCCATCGGACTTCGACTTCTACTAGAGTAAGGGTGGGCAGAAGATGGCAAAGGGAGAAAAGAAGAGGAAGCTGAAGAAAGAAAAAAAAGAGCGTTTCCCTCTGATCCTAATAAGCCACCGATTCATGAAATACTTGTTAAAATAATCTTATTGAGCGGAAAGTTGACGTGCACTAAGGAACACTCAGAAAAAGGTATAGCTAAATGCTTTTGAAAGATGTGTTAGGGAGGCAAAAAGTGATGAGCGTGCAGATCACCACCAATCTTTCCTATTTCACAGATTCGAAGCGCAGCAAACGATGAGCACTAAGGAACGACGAATG